CTGTATTTACTGTCACTGTTATCAGCAATTTTCGATGAGGAATTTTGGTTCCCCGTTGTGTGTATGTGTGTGTGCTCAGTCATATCTGACTCTTGTAACCCCATGGATTGTAGCCCATCAGGTTCCTCTGTCCATTGAATTTTCCAGACAAGAATACTGGAGTGGGTTGTCATGTAGTCCTCCAAGGGATATTCCTGACTCAGGGCTCAAACCCACGTCTCTTGTTTCTCCCGCATTGGCAGGCAGATTTTTTTACCACTGCACCATTTAGGAAGCCTTCCCCATTGGAAGTAGTGACATAAAGCCTCCTTTTAAAAATAAATTTAAGTTTAGGGAATTCCCTGGAAATCCAGTGGTTAGAACTCCATGCTTTCACTGCCAAGGGCACAAGTTCACTCCAAGTGTTGGGGTACTAAGATCCTGCAAGTCACACGGGAAATAAATAAATTTAATTTTAAAAAGTGAATCAGTTTAAAGTAATATAAATTACACATAAATAATTTATAATACTTATAGCTTCTAGTATGGCTATTTTAACAACATTAATCAAAAATTTTAATGCATATACAAAAGCAGGCAAAACTGTTCTGTGCTATTAGACATCCAATAGTGATTACTACTGGTGAGGAGTGGTAGCAACTGGCCAGTGGACACAAGGTGGGTTTCTGGTTCTGCTGACAGTTCTGTTGGTTGACCTGGGGGCTGATTATACAGTGATGTTCACTTTGTAAAAATTCATTAAGTTGTATACACTTAAGATGAGTGCATTCCTGTATGTATATCATGTATTCATATAGCCTTTAACCCAGCAATTCCACTTCTAGAAATCACCCTGCAGACATACACACACATGTGCAATATGACACATTCAAAGATGCACTATTTGCAGTAACTAAAGATTGGAAACAACCTGAGTCCCCGAGCTGGAGACTGATGAAATATATTTTGGCATAGCCTACAGTGCATTCTGGACTTCCCAGACAGCGTTAGTGGTAAAGAACCTGTCTACCAATGCAGGAGACAAAAGAGATGCGGGTTCAATCCCTGGGTCAGGAAGATCATCCCCTGGAGAAGGGTATGGCAACCCACTCCAGTATTCATGCCTGGAGAATCCCATGGACAGAGGAGCCTGGTGGTCTACAGTCCGTGGGGTCACAAAGAGTCAGACACAAACTGAAGTGACTTAGCACTCACGCACAGTGAATTCTACATAGTCATCAAATAGAATGAGGCAGCCCCTATCAGAGCTCCAAAGTTTACATGGATTTAAATTTAAATGAAAAGGTAAGGGCAGAACTGTGTATAGCATGCTACTTTGTGTGTGTGTGTTCAGTCATGTCTGACTCTTTGCAACACCAAGGACTGTAGCCCGCCTAGCTCCTCTGTCCATGGGATTTCCCAGGCAAGAATACTGGAATGGGTTGCCATTTCCTTCTCCTCAGGATCTTCCTGACCCAGGTATCGAACACATGTCTATCAAGTCTCCTGCAATGGCAGTCAGATTCTTTACCACTAGTGCCACCTGGGAAGCCCAGAATGCCATTTTATGCAGGGGAAAAAAAGAATATATAACACATCCACATGTTTGTGCCTAGGATAGTATCTCAGAAAAGAAACACAAGAAACTCCTAACAGAGACTTCCCTGGCAGTCCAGTGGTTAAGATTCCACGCTTCCAATACAGGGGGCATGGTTTGATCTCTGGCTGGGGAAGAATAAAGAAACTCACAAAAGTTATGGGCAGAGCATACCAGGAGAGAGGGATTGGAGGAATGCTTATAACTGATGATTACTCTTTCATACGTTTAAATTTTGTACAATGTCCTTGAATTTCCTATTTGATAATAAGTTTTAAAGCATAAAGTCCTACAGAAGATGCATAGCTATGGTAAAACTTTTAGCTCCTTAGATACCGAGCTGAAAATGTTAGCACCTTTGGCTTACAAAGCAAGTAGCCCTTGGCCCCACTCCTCCTCCCAAGGGATGGCACTGAGCTAATAAGCTTTCCTGGAATGGTTTCCAAATAACAACAGACCCAGTCTAGGACAAATTACTTAAACTGGGCCTCCACCCTGAAGTCAAATTCTGGCACCTGAAGTTGCCCTGGCAGGTGGCTGGGTTCTTGGCATGCGTAAGGAGATTATTAAGCACTAATACCTCCAGGGATGGGAAGTTAAAGATTTTTAAAGTCAGTCTCAGGTGGCTGAAAAGGGAGGATTCTGAGTTCTGAGTCCCACCCTGCTCCAGAAGAGACAGTGCAAGGGCCACAGAGTGGGCTTTTCTTAAGGCTGCAGGGACAGTGGCAGGCAGGGCCTTGAAAATTCGAGCTTCGTTTTAACTGTGTGACTTTCTTTTTTACAGCACTTGGTTTGTCCACGTGTCACTGTCTCCCCACATGGCTAACCCTAAAATCAATCCAGTGAGGTATGGGGCAGGATATCAGTTATCCATTTTGTAGATGGGAAAATGGAGATGCAAAGAAATTAGGAGACAAAGCTATGGTCTTTTCAGTAGTCACATGTGGATGTGAGAGTTGGACCATAAAGAAGGCTGAGTGACAAAGAACTGATGCTTTCGAATTGTGGTGCTGGAAAAGACTCTTGAGAGTCTCTTGGACATCAAGGAGATCAAACCAGTCAATCTTAAGGGAAATCAACCTTGAATATTCTTTGGAAGGACTGATGCTGAAGCTGACGCTCCAGTACTTTGGTCACCTGATGCAAACAGCCAACTCATTGGAAGACCCTGATGCTGGGAAAGATTGACGACAAAAGGAGAAGAGGGCGGCAGAGGATGAGACAGTCGGATGGCATCACTGATTCAATGGACATGAACTTGAGTGAACTCCAGGAGATGGTGAGGGGCAGGGAGGCCTGGCGTGCTGCAGTCCATGGGGTCAAAAAGAGTCGGTTACAACTTAGTGACTGAACAATGACAATGTTGAGAGAAGCGGTGAAGCCAAAAAAGTAACCCCCACTTTCTGACTCCTGGTCTTCTCCTATTTCCTCATCTCCCCACCCATCAGCTTTAGCCTTCTCCCTGCCAACTCTGAACTACAGGGAAGGAGCTTCTGAGGCCAAACAAGGAGCAGGCAAAAAAAAATCCCAGAATCAAAATCAAGGGGCCCGTGAGACCATCTAGCCCAGCAGTTTTTAACACTTATTATACACTTACCTGGAGAGATTAAATAAGTTTAAATAAATATGTATGCCAGGGCTCAGGCATCTAGAGTGTTTTTAAAATTCTGAGTTGATTCCAGTGTAACTTTGAGAGAGAACTGCTGAGTGACAGCTCAGATCATCCCCATCCCAGTTTCACATGAAACTTTCTGCCCCTGGGACTTCCCTGGTGGTCTAGTGGCTAAGACTTCACACTCCCAATGGTTTGATCCCTGATTGAGGAACTAGATCCCACATGCTGCAACTAAGAGTTTGTATGCTGCAACTAAGAGTTTGTATGCTGCAACTAAAGTTCCCACATGCCACAACTAAGACCCAGCACAGCCAAAATAAAAAATAATAAATATTTAAAAATGAAACAAAACACTTCTGCCTCCATGGACCATCCATCAGTGAATCTGTGCTACCTCCTCCAGCCCCCATACATACTGCTCATCACTCTTGCTCATTACATAGAGTCAGAGAACTGAACTGGGAGCTGGGTGAGTCAATTCACAGCTCTGAGGCCCCAAACAGGGAAGTGACTTGCCTAAGATCTCCCATTGAGTCAGTAACAGAACAAATCGAGAATCTGGATCTGTACACCAGGTAAGGTCACATCCACAGAGGGGTCACAAGGAAAGCCTGATGGCAGATCTAGCAGTTCCCACCAGAAGAAAAGATTCAATGAAGGTTGAGAAAGAGACCAGAGTGTGCATGTGTTTGCAGGGGATGGGTGTCAGGTACCTGGGCAAGTCTGCCCTGTGGCATATTGGGGACAGGGGAACTATTCTAGAGTGGCAGGGCTGGCACTGGCCTGTAGAAAGAAGTCCTCATTTCTAGGAGGGGGCCCAGCCCAGTCTGAAATCTCCATAGCGAAACCCAGTCTATTGGGTCAGCTCACCAGGAGGGCCAGCTCCCCTGTCCATAATATTAACAATGGCTGAGACTTTTTGAGCTCTTTGCTGGTCCCTGTTCTAAGCAATGGACTTGACCTGTTTCAGTTAATCCCCACAACCATTCTGAAAGTTGAGTATCATCACTGTTTCTATTGTGATGTTTCTATTGGCAGATGAGGAAACCATGGCCTCAGGAGATGAAGTAACTTCCCCAGGATCACTCAGCCGGAAAGTGGTAGTGGCAGGATTCGAAGCTGGTTCATGTCCAACCACAACCATCCTGTCCCCCAACAGGAGAGAAGAGAAGGTAAAGTGCAGAGGCTTTTTTAAGTTCCGAGCACCTAAAAGCAGCTGGAGACCTCCCCAGACACGTCTGGTGGAATCCTCCTGACCACACCTCCCGCAAGGCATCCTCTTTCCACCCAAGAGGAAACCGCGGCACAGTGGAGAGGTATCCTCGGGGGCGTCGGCTGGGACAGGATAAGGAGTCCAGGTCTCCCGACCCCAGACCACAAAGCCTGACCACTACTCCACAGACTGATGGGGAGGCGAACTCAGTAACACCTGGCAGGCGGGGCGGGAGCGGGCAAACGTGGTAACCACAGCCTACCGCACCAGCGCAGGCTGGTGGACCCGGAGAACCAAACTGCTGGTCAGGTGCACACAGGTGAGCCACGCGGAGCTCCTTCGTCGTAGCCCTTGCCAACGAGCTCTAAGGCTCCCCACCCGGAGGCTGAAATTCAGGCTGAGCTCGAGCAGCCAGAATTTCCTAGTTCCCAAGCAAAGTGGGACGAGAACCCAGCTGTGCGCTTCTGTCCGCTCCCTGGAGCAGACAAGTCTGCACCGAACCCAACCCCCATCCTCCCACCCCCGGCTCATCGTGTGGGCGAACAAGGGAGTGCGTTCTCCCCCTCCCATCCCGGGGCCCGACTGGGGTCACTCACCCAGAACACTGTGGAGTAGATGACGAGCGAGAACTTGAGCCAGAGGTAGGAGAAGCGCGCGCAGTAGCGCACCTGCTCCGAGTCCCCGCGGGGCATCCTGGGGGGCTCCCGGGCTGGGTCCGTCGCTGCCAGTAGCCCCACCTGCGGCTGCCGGACCGGCTCCCGGCCCCGCCACCGGCGCTCACTCGGGGACTGACACCGGCGAGCCGCAATCACAGCTCCGGCCCGGGACCAGCCAGCCCCAGCGGCCAATGGGCGCTCGGGGAGGGGGCGGGCCTGGGGCGGGGCGGAGGCCCTGGACCCAGAGGAGGCCAAGGCAGGGGCGGGGGCGAGGGCTGTGCAAACCAGGTCGCGGGCAAATCTGAAAGCGCCCGTGCTGAGGCGCGTTGGGGGGCGTGGGAGAGTGTGTGCAGAGGGTCGCTACGGAGAAGGCTGGTGTGCTTCATTCGGGGCACACGGAATGCCCTCTTTCTATTGCAGTCAAGAGGGAAGACCATGGGGAAAGAGCAGGAATTTATGGCTAAGGCGTTAAAAAGCGTGCAATTAAGTGTGCAAGGCATGAATGGAATAAGGAAATGGAGTTGTTCAGTCTAAGCGGGGCGGGAGGGTCGCATCTGGGAAGGCGCCGCAGACCAGGGTGGGGGCAGAGGGCCCTCATGGAAGGCCCCACGGTTCCTTTTGTAACAGTGGGAGGCTTTCCTCCAAGTCTCCGATCCTCTCTTTCACTGGGACTAGGCGAGACAGCAACCCTGCCCCGACGGCCTCCTCCTCCGAAAAGCCCTCACCCACTAGCCCCAACTCAGGGGCCTCAGCCCTTGCACACACACAGCCCAGGTCTGACCCAGCCTCTTTCCGCCCAGCCTTTCCTCTGTCTGGGGTCAAAGTCTGTCTTCCTGGCTGTGAGTCTGTCTCCCACGGCCACTGCTTGACTCACTGCTGTTTTCCTTTTCCCGCAGGCCTAGCCCTGCTGGGGACTTGGGAACCAGGCAGTCCATGTCTGTGGCATTCAGGAATTAAATATGTGAGTTCAAGGCAGGGCTGGGTAGGGTCCCTGGTGGCAACTTCGGGAATGGCACTCTTGTCCCATTCCCGAAGTCTGAATTCCCAAGCCTGCCAGACATACAGAGACCGGCGGCCCAACCCCCAGGGTTCTGCCGGTTTTACTGCAGAAGGAAGCAAGTAAGGTCTGGGTGTGGAGGGAAGCAATGCCATGCCCAGGGGTTGAAAGGAAGCCAGTTTCCTGGTACAAGGGAGCAAACCCTGCAAGGTTGGGTAGAGACGTGGAACCAGGGACTGCTGAGGGTCACCTTCAAATGAATAACCTGGGGCCTCAAAGGCATCCTACCTCAAGGTTAGAAGTTGTCATTTCTGTCTTTTGAATGGTTTCACTCAGTCGTTTTTGACTCTTTGCAACCCCATGCAACAGTCCATGAAATTCTCCAGGTCAGAATACAGGAGTGGGTAGCCTTTCCCTTCTCCAGGGGATCTTCCCAACTCAGGGATCAAACCCAGGTCTCCCATATTGTAAGTGGATTATTTACCAGTTGAGCCACAGGGAAGCCCAAGAACACTGCAGTGGGTAGCCTATCCCTTCTCCAGCGGATCTTCCTGACCCAGGAATGGAACCGGGATCTCCTGCATTGCAGGCAGATTCTTTATCAGCTGAGCTATCAGAGAAGCCCGTATTCTGTCCTTTAAGGAGGAAGAAACTAACTCTTTACCCCTCTTTACAGGACTAACTTTCCTCACCAGCTCTCACCTTACACCCACTCTTTGGGGTGCTCCATCCCCGGGAGGGATGACCCAGCACCATGCCCTCGGAAGAGTTGTCTGTCTCCTTTTCCCTGGGGTTAGCCTCCTAGCCTCCTTCCCCACTGGGATTTTCTTTCAGTTGTCCCCGTCTTAGTCCTGGCCTTCTAGCTAGCTGCACTCGTTCCTCTACAAATCTTCCCCTAATGACATGCACACATCTGAGTGGCTCCCCCCAGCTCTCCCCAAGCCTCTCTACAATTACACCTGGAGTGATGAGGCTGAGACACCCCTGCAGAGGAAGCCTGGAGCTCTTTGGGGCTAGCACAATCTTTCCCCAGTTCCTGAGCAAGTTTATTGTCCCTTCCTGTCCCCGACCTGATCACAAGTGCTATGGGCGACTCAGTCACACTGGCAAACACTGAAATCTCAGAAGAGGTGACAATGTATTTTCAGTGTCTCCTTTAAAAAAAATTTTTTTTATTTTTATTTATTTGGCTGCACTGGATCTTAGTTGCAGCACGTGGGATCTTTACTCTTCATTGTGGCACGCAGGATGTTTAGTTGTGACACGTGAACTCTTGGTTGCAGCATGTGGGATCTAGTTCCCGACCAGGGATCAAACCTGGGCCCTGTGTGTTGAGAGCTTGAAGTCTTAGCCACTGGACCACCAGGGAAGCACCAGTTTTTCTCTCCTTTTGCCAGAAACTCTTGGCTGTGGGTCAGCAGGTCTGATGCCAAGCCAGGTTTAGTCATGAACTTTGTTAGAATATGTGGCATAAATCATATTCCCTAATATCTTACAGAAAAAAAGCTTAATGAAATTTTTGGCCAACCCAATATGACATACAGGTGTGAGTGTGACCCTGGTTGCAGTTTAGAACCACGTGGTGAGCTTTCAATGTTTCCTGATTTCCAAGTCCCACCCCAGTCCAGTCAAGTCAGAACCTCCAGCAACCGGGACCTGCGTATAAGGTATCAGTATTGTTGTAAAAGTCCCAGGTAATTTCTAAAGAGCAGGCATGACTGAGCATTGCCAGTCTAGAGGTAGTCATGAGGGTGAGATGGTCAGTCAGAGTTTTATCAGAAAGGTCACATTCCTGAGGACACTCAGCTATCCAGTAGTATGTAGGTCAATGTTAAATAACTAGCTCTCTGGTAGGGGGTGGGGAGGGGGACTCTGTTGCCACTTTCCATAGTGTAAATACTCCCACCATGTCTGAGATGTGTACAGTCACACCCAATCAGCTCAACACAGCCCCACAGCTTTCCTTATCTCAATCTTTATTAGCATAGAGAGCACCATAATGAATGCATCAGTGAAATTCATGGCTTATTAATTAGCACAACAAGTATTAGAAATGAGCTATCCTTTGATGAAGTTACTGCCATCTTACCTCAGAGAGATTTTAGGTTGGGGGTTCCAATATTGCAATAAAGTGAGTGACATGAATTTCTGTTTCTTAGTTCATATAAAAGATAGGTTTATACTATACCATTGTCTATTAAGCATGCAATAGCATTATGTCTAAAAATGCAACATCTATGCCTAATTTAAAAATACTTTATTGCTAAAGAATGCTAATCATCACCTGAACCTTCATCAAGTTGTAATCTTTTTGCAATAGTAACATCAAAGATCACTGATCACCATAACAAATAATGAAAAAATGTGAACTACTGTGACAATCACCACAGTCTGACACAGTGACATGTATGGAGCAAATGCTGTTGGACTTGACACAGGGCTCCCACCAGCCAGTCTGTAAAACATGCGTTATCTTCCAAGTGCAATAAAGGGAAGTGCAACAAAACAAGGTGTGCCTGTAGCATCTGACTTAAGGGTGATGCACTGGGCTAAATCCTCGAGGCATCCCAAACCCTGAGGGATTCTGGTTGCCTGATGTGACCATCTATCTAACTGAATCCTGCCTCTAGAATATTGTATTTTTTTTTTAAGAGATTGAATCTTCTTTTACGTTTTAAATTTTATTTATTTAGGCTGTACTGGGTCTTCATTGCGGCGTGCCGGCTGTTTGTTGCAGTACTCAGGCTTCTCTTACTTGTGCTACGAGTGCCTAGTTGCAGCATATGGGATCTAGTTCCCTGACCAGGGATCGAACCCAGGCCCCCTGCATTGGGAGCATGGAGTCTTAGCCACTGGACCACCAGAGAAGTCCCTGTTGTATCTGTCTTGAGTGGACCCTTCAGGCAAGGTGAAAGAACACCTAAAAATACAGGGAGCTGGGGCTTCACTGACTTCACATAACAGATGAACTGGTTTTGTGGCTCCTTGCTAGTAAATGCTTGCTGTATAGGTGCTTACCTGGGTAGCAGGATTTGTTCTGATATCTAATTCATGATAACCTGGCAGGGAGATTGTAGGAGGAAATAACTAACCTCACCTTTAGTGGCTACTGCTGCCTATGAAAAAGAAACCTGCCGATCATGCACAACCAACCCAGCTTGCATAAGTTGGCATCCATTCCTCTGTTCCCCACTCTGTGAAACCATCAGTTTGGACCATTTCTCTTCTAGTTCCAACAATCTTAGCTATAGTCCTCACAGACAAATCAGTCAGCAAATCAACACTGAGCTTCTCCTGTGACTCAGGCCCTGCCCAGGGCTCTGGGGATACAGCTGTAAAGAAGATAGACAAGACCGGCTATTCTCTTCTATTGGGGCAATGGAGGGGTGGGGGGGTGGGGGGCGGATATGCAACATGTATGACCGCTAATACAAGACAAAGATAATTTCAGGTACTGACAAGTGCTAAACATGCAGGAGAAGAGCTGAGTGGAAGAAGCAACAGGTACAAAGGCCATGAGAGCAGCTGCAGCTTTGAGAGGGTCCATATGGCCTGTGCAAGGACCTCAGGAGAATATAATAGAATGGGGAGAGATCAGAGGCGTGGGAAGAAGCCTCACAACTTTTGTAAACAGTTTGGATTTATTTCCAGGTTTAGTGAGGGCCACCGGTGCTGTGTTAAGCAGGGACGTGATACTGAATCTGATTTAAGATTTAGAAGGTTGCAGCCAGGACTTTCCTGGCAGTCCAGTGGTTGAAACTCCAAGTTTCTATGCAGGGGGCACAGGTTTGATCCTTGGTCAGGGAACTAAGATCCCACATGCCACACAACCAAAAAAAATGAAGACAGTTTCAGCATAGAGGACAGACGGGAGGGGGCCAGGCCTGGGGGTGAGGAAGGCTGGCTAGGAAGCCTTTGCACAGGGTCAGTGTGAAAGGCTGTGGACTAGTTGTACACACTGGGAATGGTGACAGGTAGCTGCACTGGGGATGTATCTTAGAGACAGAGCCAGCAGGGTTTACTGGCAGATTGAGTGTGG